TGGCCAAACACAATACATCCAGTGTTAGAAAACATAGCATCTCATGTAATCATGTCCTGGAGGCCACACTGTTCCAGAGCAAACAGGCTCTGAAATTCTCTGCTTAAACTATTAGATTCATGGCATTTGGCAAGCAGAAGCCAGATATTATTGGCTATGAGATTAGTAAATTGTAGAGGATATTGATTATCATTTACATATTCCTGTGTATTTTATTTCTAAATTAAAATAAAGATGAAATAAAATGAGATATGAATATTTACCTAGTTCTGGAATTAAAGTCTAGATGGGGCAAGGCTGATATGTCTTTGACTCATTTGGTTGCAATCACATCATTATCTACGTGACACAGATGATTGGTTGCTGCATCAGCATCCAATGAACTGCGACTCAGCATTTAAACAAATTTTGTTTACCAGTGTTGCTGGTAGCAGTATGCAGCACGCTTTCAAAAACAATTGAAAATGTATGTAACTAATGTTTAGCTGGAATAGGAACGTTGGCTTCGCAAAGCCTGGTTTGAAAGTTTTAAAAGTTTCCCTCACAGGTAGAATTCCCAGAATGCACCTCTTTGCATCCATTTTTTTTCTTTTAACTCTTTGATGGTCAATTCACACTCACGAACTGAAAGAGAGCCAGTACTTCAATTCTGATTTTTGCCCAACTCTTGTAATATCAAGCAAAAGCTAAGGCCCCGTCGACACTACTGCGTTTTCGTTTAAAAACGGAGACCTTTTGCTACATTTTTGCACCTTCCGTCCACACTAAAACGGAAAAAAACGCAGACCTAAAACGGAGAAGTTTAGAAACGTTGCAGCTCCGTTTTGCATTTTGAATCTCCAGAGGGCGTTTTAGTGAAGACGAGACAAAAACGATGACGCAGAGGTGTGACGTGTCCTTCCCTGATTCGTCAACCACTGTTTACACCGGCACGCGCATGCCAAGTGTTGGTGAATGGTCACGTGATCCACGTTTTCAGTCGTTTTAATGTGGACGGAGATCAATTCTAATACGCAGATAAAACGCTGGTGTGGAGGAGATCTTATTCGTTTTAATTATCCATTTTTAAACGAAAACGCAGTAGTGTGGACGGGGCCTATGTCAAGCTAAAATGTCTTTCCCTAATCTTTGTGAATCTGATGTTTGAATAGCTTTAGTGGTGAAGATTTCTTCAAAGCAGCGAACTGTGTCCGTGGGTGATTAGTAATAGAGCATAATGCATCTGATGTAAATACAGTATTACGTAGCTAATGATTCAGAATCCATTAGTGGGGCCTTTCTTCTTGCATCACGGCCACTTGGGCATTTTAAGTTTTTAGAGGAAGGCGTGGATTGAGACTCTCATAGCTGATGATAACACAGAGCAGAGGCCCATGGTAAACATACTGCTGCAGATGAAAGAGCCGTGCTTCACTCAAGCACACGCAAGGCTCTGATCTGTGCGAGTTGTGTGGGCAAAGCCCCATTAAGCTTTTAGCATGCTAACATACATAGCCCAAAGGGGTGACTCCAAAACCTCTAACCCCCATTTAACAACACCTATCTGTTAATGAGGGATAGAGTGAAGAGGAATTATTTACTCTGCAGTTAAATGTCAGCGCTTCCATCCCATATAGGGGTATTTACATGGATTATACACAGCCATGCTCATGTTGTATGCAATTGTTTTCTGATGCTGCCAACCTGAGAACGTTTGTATCACAGCTTTTGGGGGTTATGATTGTACGATGAATGATCCTGTTGCGCTGCAGGTAAACAGCTTCCCGAACTAGTTGAAGACAAACAGGAAGTTGCATGATATGTTTGTCACATGGGAAAAACTCCTTTTCCCATCCCTCTTAGGAAGGCTGCAAATTCTGTCCACAAACTGCCTGTATTTAGACAGATGCACAAGCACTGAAATTATGATACTGATGAGCCGAAAATTATTTTTATGTTGTAGACAATTACAACCAATAAATTTCCGCTATTTTTTTTTTTTTGTACACACGTTTAAATAAATCATAAAAATGGGGATTGGCCCCTGATTGGCCAAATAATATTATAAAAATGTTATACAACTATTGAAATATTTAAAAGTAGTTAAATAAAAATTAATACTATGTAAAATAATATTCATTTTACGTTAAGGATGCACAGTATGCTGGTAACCAGATTCCTTTTTCTGGGGCTGGTATTCTGAAATGGGATATAAACAGAGTATGATGAAGTATTTCAAGATAAGAGAAGATAAGTTTCTCAAACAAAACTTTGGATATTTCAAAGATTTGATGCCACACATGGTTTATGATGGTTAGCTAGTAGTATAGTTCTAAAACCTTAAGCCTTGCTGTTCACCAGCAAGATTTTAGCTGCTACAGATGGTCAACCAGCATGTACATTATGGCTAAACTTGATGGTAAAGTTAGTTAAGAAGCCTGTCAGAAAAACCAGCATCAAACATATGCACATCACACGGTTCATAAATGTCTGAGGGTGTGCCGTCTGAGTCCTGAAGCGGTCAGTGTGTGCAGACTGGGCTCAAAAACCGCAAACTCATCAAGATTAAGCCTCCAGACGAGCCAAACAACACAGCGTATGCAGTGAGTGTTTGGAGTAATGAGCTGGAAGAGAGTTAGCGCACACCACATGGGAGGCCTCCAGTAATGACCTAGTGTCTCCACATCTGGAGCTGCTGAGCTGAGGCCTGCGCAAGGAACTGATAGTGGAGTACCACAGGAGCGCAGGCTTTAATCAGATTCTCTCTCTCTAGGAGCCCTGCTCCAGTGTTATGAGCGATCTGTAATGAGTAGGAGATGCAGCCACAGGTGACAACGCTGTATGTTTATCACATGGAGAAACTGTGGGACTGAGTGCTATTTACAAGACGCACATGCTGATATCCACGGCAAACACTATAATGAAGCTGGGGAGAGGAGGGCCATTCTAGTAATAAAGATGTTTAAAATAAGAACAGATACAACAGACCTGTTTACATAGGGATAGATTGTGCCATAAACACAACTTGGAGGCATCAACATTTTATAGAGATGCCATGTTTCAGGGGCCACTTTTTTTGTAGCTTTCATCCCTTTACCACTCATTAATAAAGTTTCTTGCATCAAGTTGCTATACTTTTACATACTTTTTTAAAATTAAAACATTTTTCACAACTTTAACTAAAATGTGTATATGTAAATGACATCTTGTTCTGACTCCTTGGCGTTATAGTCTGAAATGAACTTGTTTTTTTTATTATTTTATTTTAAATTTTAAAAAGAGATATAAAATATACTTAAAGACTCACCTTTTTATTGCTATATGAGGTTAGGGTTGGCTGCTTTTTTTCAAGCCATCCTTGGCTTTGGTGAATGCTTTTACCCTGTAAGGCATTGGATGGCCGTGATTCCATGCTGTTTGTTAAAGGCAACTAGTGCCAGGATAAGCCACCTTGGAATGCAGGCTGGTGTGTTAGTGTTGATGTGAAAAGACTACTCACTGATGAGCCAGCTGTGTGTGTGTGTGTGTAATCTGTTAGGGTTTGATATTGAGCCTCAAACAAACTATTTAGAAACCTGGTCTGGTTAGGTCTCTCTGAATGTTCATTGGACTTGTATTGTTCAGTTATGTAGCTTTGATTAGACCTGCCCAGCTTAATGTAAGTAATGTTTATTTCTAAAAAAAAATAAGAAGTTGAAGCTGCTGTGTGAATAATGGTTATGATAATGAATATTAAATATTGTAATTAATAATGCACTTGTGATTTGTGTGTGTTTGTATGTGTGTGGCCTGGTAAACCCTGCATTATAGAGCCAAAATGTCCCCACAAAGTTGCAATATCCAAAATCCTTCTCCGTGTGGGGACATTTTTTGGTCCCCATTAGGAAAACAGCTTATAAGTCATACTAAGTGATTTTTTTGAAAATGTAAAAATGCAGAAAGTTTTGTGTTATGTATAAGTTTAGAGGTAGTGTGGGTGTAATGGGATAGAAATACAGTTGTACATTATAAGAATCATTATTTTTATGGAAAGTCCCCATAAAACATGAAAACACAACACATGTGTGTGAGTGTGTGGGAATCTAATTTCCACAATGTCTGGCATGCACATTTTTGGACCCAATAATTCCTGTCAGTTTTGCAGTGGACTGGACCTTAACAGTTTGTCTGTGTTGTTATTCTAACCTTGGCTACATAGCTGCTGACTCCTGGGCAGCTGAGTGTTCATTGATCTACTATTGTGCTTGTCCATGTTAGTATTATTCTGCTGGGATATTTAGTTGGTACTGAGCCCAGTGTTGTGGTGGCCTCTTCCTCTGGTTCAGACTGATGGCTGACCTCCCTTTCATGTTATTTTTAGGCCACAATAGACACAGTTATACTTACTGTACATCCCTGCCTCTTGCTTATTTTTTTGGTTGGTAAGTGTGCATTGATTCCCTGCTTGAGTTCAATCAAAACCAGCTGCAACATGTTTAAAAAGAGACCAAATCTTGCACCAAAAATAAAGAAAGCGATGGAGTGAGCAAAACATGAGGGAAGACCATAGTTAATATCTAAAAATATTGTACAGAAAATAGTGCAGTATCAGAGTGTGTCTGTATGATTAGTACTGTTTTATATGGCATCCGGAATAGGATTTTCTTTAAATTTGTAGCTCAATTATGTGACCCCCCCCCCCCCCCCCCCAATATAAAATAAATAAATATAAAGATAATATTAAAATGCAATTTATACCTATAATAACCTGAAAACAGGTCATTGTAGGTATCATCTATGATGATCATGTTTTCAGTCATTTAATGGCAAATAAAAGAAAAAGAAAAATCAGGCTGATACAATTTTTTTTAATCAAAATGAAGGGGGAAACGCCTTCTTAAAAGAATGACATTTTTGGAATAATTGCACCACAGTAGTTTGGTACAATCTTTTATATTTTTTTCTTAGGAATGCTTTGATACATATACTCATACGTATATATATATATATATATATAGTGTCATTGACACTTGTGCCTGATTATTTAGTAAGTTATGAGGTTTAATTGTTATTGAAGTTGACCACTAAGTAGGAAAGTGGCAACACTGTTTTGGGGGGAAAGTAGAAGATTTCCTGCTGGGATTAGGATGCGGCTTTAATTCAATGTAGTGTTGTTTCCACCCACTCTTTTTTGGGATGTGGCCAAGCCACCCGTTCCAAACATGTTCTCCGGGGCATCTGGAATTTCTTTGACGTTTTTGCTAAATGTGTGTTTATAAGTTTTGCTGTTTGAAAAAGGATAGTTCACATTCCATTTGTTCCGACCCCTTTGAATCTGAAACGGAGCACAATTGCTCCCACAAAAATGAATTGTTTCAATCTGTTTCACTACTCATCTCCATCATGGTGGCCTCAAGACTTCAATTTGAAAAAGACACGATGACTAATAAATCGAATGGAAGTTCTTCCATCACCTCCAACCATGCCATGTCCTGATAATCTCTGATTCACTCCAGACTAGAAGTCTTTGCAAGGATTAGCATGGTAGGAGAACCTTGAAAAGCACTCTTCTGATGCTAATGATGAAAAATGAATACCGTCATAGTGCCACATAAAGCTTATCTCTCAAGCCTGTAACCCATCAGGCATAGAGTGAGAGCCCATGGAGGTCGTCAAAGGTTGACTGGGGAGTAGGAATCCATGACTCCAGCACCCAGTGTGTGTGTGTGTGTTTTCTTTTCCATGCCATCCTATTTGCAGAGCTGAGATAAGCATATGCTTGTGGTGGGGACCAGGTGCGTGACTATCTGTCTCTCAAGGGATTTGTATAGACAGGGGAGGGTCCAGAGGGGATGTAAGAGGGTCAACCCATCTCGCGTTCCTCTTTTTCAGTCTTTCATTCTGCCCATCTCTTTGCCCCTGCTTGTTTTCACAGGGAGTGCAGGCCACTCTCTGACGTCAGGTTCCATGCATGGATGTTCCATATAATCAGGAACCACTGCTTTGGTTCTGCCTGGTATTCTTTTTTCTGTAACCGGTGGGATTTGTTTTTGGAGAAACACAACATTTAGAGTCATGGGTGGACGTGGTGACCAGGAGCTCGTCAGCTGGTTCATTAATGCCGAACCCTTGCTTTTATCAGTCTCCGAGAAAAGAGAGTATCTCAGCAAACATAGCTGCAGATTTCAATCCAGGCTCTTTCGTGGAAAGCAGCAAGTTGACTTAATCACATGTTATGAAGTTTGGCCAGGAGGATTGAGTCTTGAGATGCAGAGTTCCTATTTCCTCTCTTGGGCTGTGGCTTTTGGGTCTTCCATAATTCTCCCCCAACCCAAATTTCTTGAGGTTTCTCCCTCAGCCCACTCTTTTCCCCAGTTCTGTTGGAATGCCCTTTTTCCCTGCCACAAGATACTCCACTGTGGCTTTGGAGGCCACCTAGAATGGAGCAACTCTGCTGAGCCCACATTCAGAAATAAAGATTGAGGCTGTAAATATAGCTCTTATCAGGCCTCTACCAAGGAGTATTGCCCGATCTTAAAAGACACATTGTTTGTTGTTGGAATTATAGCACTTCTGAGGTACAGGCCAACAGTTGTCAACTGTGCCTCACTAGACAAGCCTGAGGAAGTGAACTCTATCATTACCATCATCACCCTGCGGCATCAACAACAATGTTGCTGTCATTCCCATCAACATCCTCATCATGTTTTATGATCTTTGTCCCCGTTTAACCAGCCCACTAAGAGTATACTGGACCCTCATGTGGAGAAAAGCGGTCAGATGGCTAAACAGCACACTAGCCATGACCCACCAAGCTCCGATGGAATTGAACCCGGAGGTTGCTGTGCTCCTGTTGACTTTGGCTTTTCTAAGACGGTTAGCGGCAAAATTTACCGCAGTGCACTCGGAAAACAGGTAACTGGAAGCCCATCGTTCAGCAGTGCTTCGCCAGAGCAGTTTGATGAACTCTGTGAGGGAGACATGAAAATTAAATTCGGGCTTAAATACGTGGAAATGTTTTTTTGTTTTTTTTTAATCTGACCTTCTGCCTGGAGCGTTCAGTTACGTGTGATACACTGAGCACCTGGAATCCTGGAGAGGAAATCAAAGCATTTTTTTTCCCTGATATATAATTATATATAATTTTCTCACATTGAATGTATAGTTGGTGGATTGCACAGTAAAGTATGTCGTTAATGAAGGAGCCATCTCATTAAATGCACTTGTTTCTAAATATACCAAACAGACAAGAATATAGGCTTAGTTGTGTGAGCATTGAGTCAATCCCATGAAGTATTAAATAAACTGTAGGTGCTCAGGATAGGCTTAGGAATTGGACGTTGCTGTGTTAAAGTGTTCCGATGTGGTGGAAATCCTTGCTGTTCCTCCACACATCCCTGCTTTTAAACTGAACCAGATGGGCTCTTTCCATATAAAACTTTCACTCTCTTTTAAGTCTCACACCAGGCTAACAGCTGTTAAAAACCATGGTACATGTCATATTTTGCCCACTTAATAAAGTCTTTAATACATCAAGGGCTGCTCAGTTTCACACCACAGTTGAAAATTCATGTATACAGGCGCTTTGCCAGGTACAAAACGACAGACTGTTTAGTGATCATGGGCAATGATTAGTGGGAAATGAATCGTATCCCCTGGGCTAAACTCAAGAAATTTCCCTGATTATTTGTTTGATGTGAATTAAAAGTCAGTGCTGTCACCATTGCTGTCATGTTCTTCTCTCCACCCGTTACTAAATGCTACGCAAAAAGTCTAACACGCAGTACACTGTCTCCAAGCCTTCCTGTCTTTTTGACCCTTTACCAACTATTTCTATAAACTGGGTGGGGATAATAGATGAGATGAGAGTGAAAGTAAAGTTGACAGCACAAAAAAAGAAAGAGAGAGACAGTGAATTGGAGTTTGGCAGCTAAATCCAGGGAACTAGACAAACAACTTAATTGTGGATTGTTTCCGGGATAAAAGAGAGTAGACCTTTTCTAACATCTGTTTGTGTTGGCTGTCACATATATACAGACTTACTTTTACTCCAAACAACCCCAAATGTTTCCACTGTCTTTCGAGTGTTCTTTTTGCACTCATTCTTTCATCACAGCATTCAGTTGTTCCAGCTGCAGCCAGTGTGAGGTGTCTATGTCCACCGTTTTGAGCTGGGTTACGAAGAGACTGTTTTGACAGTTGCAGTCGGAGTGTGACGCTCTGCTGTGGAATGTTCTTCGAATGACAGAGGAGGAACCAGTGAGTTAGATCAGTCGGTGTGTGTATGTACATAGTCATACACAGTCCGATCTGGGTAATCAGGCAGTGAGAAGAGCAGAGTGGTGGTTACCTTCCCGGGAAGTTCACGCCCCTGAGAGCTGTTTGGTTTGTAGTGGCGCTTTGTCAGTAAGGGAAGAGGAGGAGTGGAAGCGAGAGAGAGGAGGAGGGGAGAATGTGTAGTGGAGGAGCCTTCTCAGTTACTGAGAGCAGCACACGCTGTCGGCAACAGAATGAGCGTGTCCACGCTCTCACCCGCTAGCAGCACTCTTTAAGAGACCATACGCCCCCCTCCCACCTCTTATAGCCCCTGCCAGATATCAAGAGTAGACATAGGGCTCTTGTCTCTCTCTCTCTCTTTCTCTTTCTCTCTCCCTTGTGTGAGAAAACCACGAGAGACAACTCCTCAACTTTTTTTCCCCTCCTTATTTCTCTGTTCGACTTGCTCTCTGAGGGACTATGCCAGTAGTTGGCGTTGCATCGAAACTCCGGCAGCCGGCTGTGGGGTCCAAACCCATCCACACTGCACTGCCCATCCTGATCCCAGGGAGAAGCAGCATGGCACATGGACTGGCACCCAGGAGCTCGGAGCTCAGGGTCACAGAATCTTCTATGCTCTCCTGTCAGCTGTCATTCAAGACGGAGATCCATGATAGGAGGTCAACCTCTGTCCCAGCTCCAGCCGCAACTTTGGCACGTAGCAGCAGACAGGCAGAAGAGAGCAAGATATGCAAGGTCAGTGAGACAGATGATGACATGTAATCCAGGCATGTGGACCATGTTAGACCAGGTACTGGTTTACTCTACAGGTGTTGCTCTTTGAGAGAGCTGGTTACAGTTCTTGTTTGATTGATTTGGAATTATAATTCAATGCGTGTTTGGAAATAGATCAGTCAGATGCCTGGCAGACAATTGCATCATTTTAGCAGGTGCCGTAGACCTAGACATTTTTATTCTACATATTATGCAATCTTGCATATGTATGAATTTGGATGCTTTACATAAAGAAATTGAATTAATTATATGGTTTGGTTATTTTATATATTAAAATGCATAGTCACCCAGAAATGAAAAAGTCAGACAACTTTTGAAAGGTTAAGAACTGATGACAATATTTTCATTTTGGCTGAACTATCCCTTTAATATCTAAAGGAAAAATCATGCGCCTGATACTTCCAGTTTACGAACGAGCTGTTGTAGTTGTGCTAAGGGGCTATTAAGATCTCTATCTGTGAAATGAAGCATGGGGGCAGATTTAGGGGGTGTTTTGCGGGGGAGACTCGGACACCTGAGAAACTCTTGTGTGAAACAGAGCGGGGCAGCACACTAACTCCCTATCCCCCACGCGTGGGGCTCCATTACAGATATATGGCTGGTGTTTTCCCCTGGCTGTACTGCTCTTTTCTCAGGCTTCGTGATATTAAAAAGGCAAAGATCAAATTGCTCGCAAATGATAGACATGTAAGGATTCCCATGAACTCTTACCCATTCTAAAGAGAAGCATGCCAATATTTCTGAAAGCAATTTTCATACATTTGGCTGGAAACCGAAGCAGAGACAGAAGGAAGGCGGGGCACTATGAAGGTTGTGAGAGTTTTTCAAAATCCCCGCCAAGCAGATTCATTTGAGGTTTTGCTAGTCCCGCCTCTCACAATTGGAAAAAGTAAACTTTTGGTAGCAGAAAGACTTTCCTGTTTATTAAGCTCATCTTGACCATTGTCTCAATTGTGACTTCCTTAGATTTACCTTCTCCCTTTTCAGATCCTTAAAGGCTGCGTTTTCTTGTAACTCGCAGGAAGTGCGTGCTAACTTCAAAGCAGGGTCGTGGTTGACTGCTCAGGGTTTCTGGTGCAGTGGTTGTGAGCATGTTCGGGGTTGCTGGAGGGCAGTGGGGCCAAGAAAAAGGGGATGTGTGTTTTATTATTAACTCACTCAAGTGTCATGCTCTTTAGTGCGAAAAAAATAAATAAAAAATCACCAGCCTTGTCTCCTCACTTTAGTTTGCTGATAAAAATGCAGCAGGAATGTTAAGACTAATCATAAAACTCAACTGAGCAAGCACTATTTCACAAAATTATTAAGGAAGGAATGTCACTGACTTTAAGGAGATAGGAAAATGTTTCTAAAGAAATGTCCCACCTGTCCCTTCCTGACTGGCCACAAGGGAACTATTAAGACTAATGTGGGCTTGTCCACTCAGGTCTCGCTGCTCTCTTTGAAAGGGCTGAAGAGCCTTAGGCAGTACTTGCGTTCTCCTGATGGGGCTAGTGAAGTTTTCTAAGATCATAATGTAGTGGCATGTCAGTGCATTCAGGACAGGTGGATTTGTTTATACCCACATGCCTGTTTGGACATGTTTGTAGTCGTTCCCACAGAGGGCAGCACATTCACCTTGTTTGGTGTTGAGACAGTCTCTATGCGGCTGCAGTTTGATTTGAATCATGTGTCGGGACAGCAAACCCATGTCAAACTTTGCAAAAGAGGACATCAGTCTACCGCGCAGCTGGCGGTGTTGTGATCTGCTTGTGCTATTTATCAAGTTTCCAAACAAACAGGAGCTCCACAGAGCAAGATTTAAAGTAAACCCGTGGAACAACTTAACGGTTAATGTGAGAACAGATGGCGAGCGTTCTGTAGAAGCTCATTTGGACACCTTAAGAGCAGTCATCCAAGGGAGTCTGCATAGTTTACAGTATGCAAGGGCCTCATCTCATGACAGTGTTAGAGTCTGTAAAAAAATGATGGTTGTGCAAGTATCCTTCTAGCCACTTTCTCCACAGTGTTCTCAGTGCAGTTTCCCATGGCAAATTGAGGAAATATGTGGTTGTTCTGGTTGGTGAACTGATTATAGCTTGCACTGTACACTTTATACACCTGAGACTAAGACTGTTTGAGAATGTGTCTTTGGCAGACTTGATAAAAGAGATAATATGTGAGAAAATATGAACAAAAAGTAGGAAACAACAGGGTATTTTAATAAAATTTGTCTAGGAAATAGGAAGAATATGAAAATGTTTATTAATTTTGACTTAATTTTATGAACTCTTACACATACACAAGTAGTAGATGAGAAATCAGAACAGTTTTCTAATTCAACTTCATTTGTTAAAGAGCACTTACTTAACTGACTTGAAAATGGAATGACTCCACGGGGTGTTGTTCACTGTTATAAAAGACTGAAATTGGGACATAAAGACTTAAAAGTGTGAATTCTCTTCTTGTTCAGACTAAATATATTTTTTATTGTGTTTAGATCATCAGATAAAACAGTTGTTGATATAAATCCAAAATAATGATCCAGAAATGTTGAGATTAATCCATCTGTTATGTTTTATTACTCATATTTATTGCATTATTTATTGTCCCAAACTGCTTTTTGTAAATCCTCCTTTGAGTGCTTGGCTTTGAATGCAGATGGACTGGGGGAGATAGTCTTCCATACTGCATGAGGTTTGTCTGATATGTTGTTCTAGCATCCATTGTAGAATTATGATAGCAAAACCCCGTTCTCAGAAGGACACATGTTTTCCGCCCTGTGCAAATCTTCCATTTGCTTTGCCATCTTTCATTTTTATTTAATGTGTTTCCTTGTGCTCTATGAGTCTTTTATATCAAAGTTATGTGAAATCCACCAAATGCTCCTTGCTGTCAAAACTGGATTGTCAACAACAGGATGCAGTAATGCAGGTTCAATATTTACTCATTTGTTGTCCAATGAAAAGCAGCCTCCCTTAAACTCAGACCTCTCCATTGCTGTATAACTCTTTAGTAGCTTATAACATATAATTAAAAAAATAAATAATTTTTAGAATAATTTTTATTAATGGGATAGTTGAAAAGCTATATGAATATCTGTGGGTATGATCCTGTGGGTGCTCGAGGGCTTGTCATAACAAGTGAAGCCACCGCTCGATCCGATTTCAATATGCAAATGTTACTTTATGAATCAGTGTTTTTATATCTGAACTCCCTGTACCTTCTTACAAATGCAAACATCCTAATCATGTAAATGGTTATTTATTTAAAGTCGGGAAAATTCCCTGATTATTAAGTGTCGGCGAGCTACATGTACTGCAAATGTCAAATTGGTAATTTACATTTTCAAAGTATGTGCATACAACTTAATTCACCTTGTAGCCAAAGGGTTACTTAATTTTTCTGTGTTAGAAATTAGAAAGTTGTTTTTGAATACTGTAACTTAATTTAAATGACTCGCACCCAACGGCAGGAACGTAAATCGGCGCCTATGCTTTCTGTCTTTTTTGGAAAACAAATGAAAATGTTTTGAAGAATATTCCAACTGTTTTTATCCATGCAATAAAAGACGCAAGAGACAACTTTATATACATGAATAAGCTCTTTAATTTCACACATTTTTACAGCGATGAAATATGGATTATATATTCACATTATCATTAGTTGTCTTGAGGCTTTTGTCATCTCAAGGTATCCCGTTACAGATACACACTCGTTTATCCTCTTCATTCTTACTGAGTTCAGCAGTGTGGTCCAATAGCAAGGTTCCCCAGAGCTCTGTACTTGTCCCATTTAAAATGTGTATGTGTGAGATTAAGAAGTCAGGGAATGTAAACAGGCCACTGGTGGCTCACAGTGTGTTAGATGGGGAAGGGAGGGGAATGTTGAGAGTGCAAGGGGACAGTGCCAGCGTTTCCCAGCAGCAGAGGTGCTGTCGATGGTGAAACACTGAGGCTTGAGTTCGGCGATTGGGGTGTGCATTCTGTCTGTGCATGTCATAGCCATGGGTGGTCTGGCGTGCTGCACTCCTTATCTGGAAGAATGCAGGACACTGAAGACAAGTGATGATGCTCCCCCTTAGACAAGTGGAGATGGGGGCTCAGAGCCATTATACAGCTCAACTCGAATGGAAACATACTCTCCAAAAGCTCTCTAAACAGACTTGTAAAAATCGACATAATCTAATAATTCGCTCATATGTTTTTCCCCAGTGCGCCTACTCAAGGATTGAGTGATGATGATGTTTATTGAGATCAAATCAGGCATAATCTCGGGACACAGTTCAGTTTATTTATTGAGGTCTTTATTGTTTGCCGCAATTTAAAAAATCGTATTCTGACTCCCATGAACAAGGACTGGTTTACTGTGATATTCTGTTTATTATTCAAGTAGGCAGGTAAAAGAGAGCACCCTGCATGGGTGTTTATTGACTTTATTGACTTGCACATCCAATACAACATCTACCCCAAAATCATTAACAAAAAAAACGTCTTGGTTACGTATGTACAGTAAACCTAGAAGAGGGAGCGAGATGTTGCGTCAACGCTGTGCGTCCTGAAGCACGTATGGAATCAGTCCAATGGAGAGATGGAACGTCATAGGTGGGTGACTATAAAGCACCTCAAAAAACCCAAACGCGACCCAGAACAGGTCCCTGGGACAGGAACCAAGGTTCTTTCCACATGACCAGAGCACAAAGACAGCAGCGCATGACTTTGATCGATATATTTTTGAGTGGCTTGGAGGGTAATGCTTGTGCTTTAAAGGATGATGACGCCTTGGAAGAGAGATGGCTCGCAAGCATCTCTTCAGCCTTGGGCATTGTTGTGTAAACATGAAGTCCCTAGCCCCTGAGATGTTAGAATACATAAAATACGGTAGGAACCCGGCTTCTTCCATGATTTCAACACCTCACTGTGGAGGTCGGGGAGGAACGGTAAGCATGGAGGTTGCGTGTGGGAAATCAAAATCTTTCATCT